CCCCAAAACCCCAAAACCCCAAAACCCCAAAACCCCGAGCGATTGAAATTATTCATGATTATTCAGATTAAGTTGAAATTTAAATTATCAAGTCAATATTTGCATCTCCATAATCAAACTACTCAAATAAGTGTGTTTGACTAATACTACTAATTGCTTATTATAAATCTACTGAGAAATCGACTAGTAACCTATAGAAAATTTATATTAAGAAATATATTTTTTTATACCTCCTCACAATATCTACCTGAGTTTTATCATTCATCTAAAGCATTTTATTTTGATTTGCAATTACATTAAATGTGAATATATAGTTATCATCATTCTACTTCTCACTTTGAAACTCTGAATCTATATTTATCTTTGCTTGTATTCTTTTTATATTAAGTAGCATGTGTCTAATTATGCTTTAAGCGTAATCTTAGAATTCATTTAAACTTAGCTCTCTTAAGCGCTTTATATTGTCAAACTTTAATTCTAGGTTTGCGATTTATTTATTTGCATCACCTTTTTCATCAGTTTGCAGTACAAATATTTGAACTTTCTCGAGTATATTCTTATGATTGATAAGACTAAGAAATTACTTTTTGAACCAGTTTCAAGATATCATCACAGAACTAATAAAATGTTGAAGTAGTTGAAATTTACTGAGTTGATATATCATTTAAGTTCGTCGTCGTTGATGTAAGGAACGTGAATTCCAAATACTTATTTTAGCTTGAATGCATCTTTTGTATATATTTTACTAATCTAAGATAAGTATTATCAAATTTGAAATAAATACCCAAAGAAACATTGATGTCACAGCTTTTATAAGCATTATTATATTCTCCGTACCTTCTATTATAATAAATTTAGTGTGATTATTTACCTTTGAATGTGATAGATGATTCCATGTTTTACTGAGTTAAATTTTGCTTTTAATATTAAATTTAATAAATATGATTTTGGTAAGAATTTATTACGGCATTAGCATTAAAGCATTAATTACGACCCATAAATAATTAACTTTGACTTGCTATTAAATAGTCTGAATGAGTAGAAAAGTTTAAGACTGTACTCGTACAGGATCGTTTCTATAGTAGAAACGTCTGATTTGCACTAACAAATTAGACAATAATCTAATCCAGGATGATAAGAAATACGCATCCACTCGTAAAGCGAGATAAGTTCTTCCACTGTGATCGCCGAAAGGCTTGATTCGGTGCGAAGAGTGAAGACCGTCCTCTAGTCAGCTCTTCACAGAGCAGGCCAAGAGTGAGAGTGGATGTGAGGTTGACTGGACTTAGGCCCCCTAATTAAAATGAAAAGTTTGATTAAGTACAAGTACCATAATAACTATATACTACTTAATAATAGAATTATATGTATTCCCTAGACTAACATTCCTCTATTTAATAGGGTTATATAATATTATCATGTCATTTTATTTTCAATAATTTTCCTATTAACTCAATCAATCAGACTTAAAATTATGACTAAATGTGTGCAAATGATTAATAGATTAACTTGCTTAATTAAGATCAATTTATAAATATTCATTAACATATTTATCTTAAGAGTGAAAGTGTTAGGCTCTTCATTACTTTCCAGCTTCTTGCTACTTTTTAACCATAGCGCAGATCTCTTTAAATCTTTCATAGCATTCCTTGGCACTTTTACCTTCTACTTTTTCTGATATTTTGATCCATCTTTCCTTAATAGGAATACTGCCTGGGAACTCACGCATTGCCTGCTCTAGTTGTTTTTATTAGTCATTGTTCCAAGCAGGTACTTCCTCTTCCCTTGCTTCTTATTTTGGTTCTTATTTCTTTTCCTCAGGTGGGTTTTATGGTTTTTATTTTACTTCTTACATTTGTTTCTTTGCCTCTTTTTGAGCGAATGACGAAGATAAAACTGAGGAGCTTGGCTCCTTACCAGCCTTAGATAAACTAGTTTTCTGAGATAACTCTTGAGCTTTTGCAATCACTTGCTTTTAAGTTTTATCTGTCCCAATATGATCAGTAATAATTTTCCATCTGTTTGGTAATGCTCCTGGATACTTTACAATAGCTTTACTCAATAGAGATAATTCTTCAGTTGACCAGTTATCTTTAACTGTCTCAACCTTCTTTTTCTCCTCCTATTTACCAGCTTATCCATTTTAGCTCTAACCAGTAACATCTTATATTTATGACTCAAGCTGCTGTTAGAATTATTCAGCATCTGTTATGCTCTCTAATTTTTTCTTAAATTCCTCAACTTCATCAATTTATTTAAGTTTCTTGCAGAATTCTTCAGCCCAGAACTTATCATACTTTGACCCTGGTAATATTTCTTGGCACAAATTAGCTAATTGCTTTATTGACTCTTTTCTTCTATTTAATAATGCTTGCCTTTCCTCCTTAATTTTTCTCTCAGCCTCTTATTACTTTTAGATTTCTAATTGCTTTATAGCTTCCAACTATTTGACTTTTTCCTCCTAATCAAGTCTAATTTTCTCTTTTTAAAGACGAATCTCTTCCTTCTTTCTCTGCTTTTCCTGTTCTTCCTTAAGTTCCTCAGCTTTAATTCTTGGATCATTTTTATATGCAGTATCAACAAGCTTGATTATTCTTAATCTCTCCTTCTTTTAATACTTATCTCTCATTTTTTTGTTTTCCTTCTCCATATATCTTCTTTCATATCTATCCTATGCTTCTCTGACATCATACTCATCATACTAAGAGAAATCTCTCCATGATTCGAAATTATCCCAGAACTTGTAAAATTTATATACTAAGTCTATTGGCATAGTGGGGTCTCCAATGTTAGGAACTGGCTTTTTCTTGGCGAATCTAGCATTTCTTTTGAATACAGGCTCGAAAAGATCATAGAAAGTTTTTTCATTAATATCATTATATGCTTCTGATGGAATGGAGTCATCAAAAGGTAATGATGAGTCGTATCTCTTTCTCTTTGTAGGGTCAATCAATGTCTCATATGCATTCTATACTTGAAGCCAGATCTCCTTGTCTGATTATGTAATATTTTCTCCAATCTTGTCTGGATGATACATGAGGGCAAGCTTTTTGTATGCTTACTTAATATCACCCTCACCTGCTTCATATGTAAGATGATCTAATCCTAGTATTGCATATAAATCACCCATAAGTAATGCCTCCTTTTCGATGTCTTCCTTTGTTCTTCTCTTTCTTTTCCTCTCCCAATCTTGATTGAAATCTTCTTACTTTTTGGCCTCCTCATCCTCTTCTTCTCCTGAGGATTCTGTATCACTGACAACCTAAGGTTTTTCACCCTTCTTTAGGTCTTTATTTTACTATCTGATAACCTGCTTATGTACGCGGACTTTCAATTTCTCATATGCTGAACCCACTTGCTCTATCTATTTTTTATATCCTTCTGCTGTTGTAAGGGTGTCTAATACTTGGACAGCATCTTCAACACCTGAAGTTCGTTTAAGCTCTTCATCTATGGAGGGAAGTGTTAGGAACCCATTTAATCTGAGATAAGCTTCTAGCTTAAATGTCACTCTTGACTCGACCATTCAATTTAGTAGTAATTAATATATAAACTGCTTATTAATCTGAATTATTAATTGATAATTGAAATGGATAGCCAAATTAGTTTGGAAAATTAAGTTAGACCTGATAAATAAGTATTGAACTCAAATGCTTTTTGTGAAATCTATGTGTCTAACGACAGAGTTTATTTTAAGAAAGTTTTAGGCGATTACTTTAACAATGTTGAGGTTTCTATGAATGAAATAACAGAAGAAGAAATAACGAATGTATTGAGATATAAAGAGGTAATATTCATATCTTAATAAGGAAAATTTAGAGTGATTTAAGATATGTTGATGAGAGTTATGAAGGAGTGTACTTAAACTCGATGCCCTCAACAGATTTTATAATGATTGAAAAGCCAAATAATGATGAAAAACTACCAATATTTGAAGCTCCTCTAGCAAAATGCAATCATGATGATAAGACAGTAGATGATGATATTCTTATTGGATTCAAGAGTGGAAAAAGATCCGCAATTTTAAAATTATAAGAATCAAATAACTTCTTTAGATTAAAAGGCTGTGGAAATATGAATCTTGGGTTTAATAAGTAGTAAATGGCCTTTCCTGAAGAATGGCAAGAAATTAGAGGAGTATAATTTTCAAATACTGCATTCAGAGAGATTTATTTCAGCGAGAAGATCAATAATCTGCTTAATCAAAAAGGTTTCGTTGTAAGAAATAAATAAATTGTTAATAATTATAACCTATTTTTAGTTAGGAAATACTCCATATGGTCTTTGGAAATATTCTGAAGACATTGACAACTTAACTAATGATTGCCCTAAATTAGATAAATATTGTGGAATTTATAAAACATTTGGAGATAAGAGATTGGCTACACATCTATTTTAAGGAATTGAAATTATCTTAAAATCACTGATAAACATTGGGATTTAGTAAGGAGATATTAGTATTGATCATCTTGATAAACTTAAAAATTTGTTCAATTAAAGCAGAATCAATACTTAAAATAACAGCATAAGCAAAACTTCTACACTAACTAAATTCAAAGATCCCTCAAGTAAGATATATATTAAACTAATTAACATAGGGTTTGAACAAAAATTAAATCATTTGGAATGGATAAGCTCACAGAGAATATATTCTGATGAGGAAAATTCAATACTTCTTAATTTTGATAATTCTCAGGCAGAAGAATTAAGCTAAATTTTTTAGAAATTAGTTTCCAATCCCAAAATATAAGAGGATTTAAGTGAATATTGTCAACACAGTGAATCAGTTAAACAGACTTTGAAAGAAAGATTATAGAATTTTAGCTCAATCTTAGGGTTTCTTGAAGCAGTTATATTGATGTTTAAAAGAGCTGGATATGAAACAGGGTAAGTCAAAAGGACATTAGATGAAAACTTGATATCCTGGGGATATTACATTGATCATAATCCCTTTTAACCACATTGCAATGCCCACCCTAATAATTTTCTTGTGTTAGATCTGTTAGCAGATTACAATAATGAGTATCATAATTTACTTGCACCTGTTGATTTTGATATGACCTATGAATTTAAACAATTCATAAGTAATGTATAAGATGATCCAGCCTAATATGGAAAACAAGATAGAGAATTATTTGATAGCTGGAGTGGCTCTGAAAAGTATGAATTAGAAAAAGCTCTCGGGGGTGAGGAGAACATGGCGAATTTTGTCTATGGGATACAAGAGGAGGAGAACTAAGCTGAGGAATAAAAAGAAGATGATCTTTCACAGCAGATTTTCAAAACTCTTAATGTCTGTTTAAGAGATGTCTCTGTCTTGAACTATAGAGAAAGCTATGATAAAATCAATCATTAAGATTGGATTGAAGATAAATACAGCTACTAAACCAGAATTTAAGACATTAATCAAATTATTTAGCTTGCTCTACTGCTAACAGACAATAAAGATACATGAAGAAGTTTTTTTAAATCAAGTACAGTTGGAGTAATTATTTAAAGATATCTTAATTTAAAAAATTCCAATAATTTGCTTATAATTCTAGGCGGGGTTTTGGGGTTTTGGGG